TTTAGCATTTGATAATATCACACAGTATTTTGAAATTTAAAGAATCCCTTCTATCTCAAAACCCGATGATAAGTATCATCCTACAATGTCACTGAATAGTATAAGAAGTCCGAAAAGCTCAACGCAACCAGCAAAAATTTTTTATTATAAACGAACTTATTTTCATAGACAATTCTCATCTGACAGTCGATTAGCGAACACCGTCTCTTTCACCTTCCTTTAATTTGTTGGTTTCTATTTTTTCCAAACATCGTTTTTGAAGTTTAATTCAATTGATCGGATTAAAATAAGTCAAAATGAATGGTGTGTAGTAATCAGAAATATCAGAACTCCGTATCGGTGACTTACTGATAAAGGCGAATAATATCAAAGCATTCAGAAAATTTTTGTCTGCAAAATACATAGATGTAGTGCCAGTGAAAATAGTACCACATCCTACACTTAATTACTCGCAAGGCTTAATAAATCTTTACCCGAAGACTTGGCAGAATATCAAGTAATTGGTGTAAGAAAATTTATGAAAATGGATGGAAACCAATTGGTACCAACTGGAGGAGCTGTGGTCACATTGGAAATTATACACCCGCCGAGTACCATTGACATTGTCCGGAATTACATACCAAACCCACTGAAATGTAAAAACTGCCAGAAACTAGGCCACACAAAGAACCACTGCAGATCTGTTGAATTGTGCATAGAATGTGCTTTCCCACCATCACATACTACTTGCAGCCCAAAAATCTGTGTAAACTTGAATGTCGACTCACACTTTTCAAACGACAAAAATTGCGCTTTGTTCCTGATACACAAATCTGTAAATAAAATGAAAATTAAACAGAGATGCACGAACCGCGATGCGTGGAAAATATTCAATAGTGATCTGGACAACTACCTAATTAAACCCCCAGCTCATAAGCAGCCCTATTCTCAAGTAATACGCAGCGACAAAAATACCGAAAATAACTCTCATCATAATACAAATGCTCCATCATCTTCAAAAACAAACTCCAATCAACAGTCATTACCGCCCAATTCAAACAAATCAGTTACATCTTTCTGTTCCCCAACCACACAAACAAAATCATTAAACGCAAATTCAGTACACTCTTACAATACAACCCAAGAAAATAATAAACCAACAAACGAAAACTCAGAAAAAGAATCATTATTAAACACATTTTACACACAGTTAACTTCTATAAAAGAAAACGAAATTCATCAAATTTGGAAAAGATCTCAAAAAAATGCGAATACATCGACTTTATCAAGTAACGCAGCCAAGATCACGCCTAGGAGACCTGACATTGTAGACATGGACGACGATTCAATGTCTCCAGACATACTTTAACACTGCAATATCTTATTATTATCATTTCTATTTTTTCTATGAATCTGAATTCGAACATCACAATTCTGCAATGGAACATGCAAGGTTTTATTTGCCATTAATTAGCTTTAGAAATAATTATTGCATTGCACAAACCAAGCGTTTTAGTTTTACAAGATACCCACATCACTGACCAAAATAGGCATCTACTATTTCTTCCAAGTTACAAAGTTTATCATCACAACAAAAACTATAACTATTCCAAGTGTGGAATAACTATTTTTGTTAAAAATAATATTAATGTTACCAACGGCAGCATTTCATCTGGAAATCTATTATTTCAGTCAATAACATTGGACTATGAGTATCCTCTTCACATAATAAATGTCTATAAAGAATATGACAAAGCTATAACGCCAGATATAGTTAATTCTATTAACATACCACCTATGTGTCACACCCTTTTACTCGTTGATTTGAACGCCCAGAACTCCGTATGGGGCTCATCTGACTCCTCTAATGGAGGTCTCATATGATACTCATGATTTTTCCATCCTCAACGACGGTTCCCCTACTCTTTTAAGAACTCGCAGTACCCTTACAGCTATAGATGTAACAATGTGTACCTCTGACTTTGCTCCTACACTGTCCTGGAAAACATTAGCCCTGCCGGAAGTAGGAGATCATTTTCCCATCCTCATAACGAAATTACTACGATTTAATTCAGATTTCACCGAGTCTACTAATATAAATAGAGAGGCATCACAAATAAAACGACTTCTCCGAAAATCAGCCAATGAATCAATCCCAATTAGTCGCCGAACAAAAATAAAATAAGGGGAATATGGTTTAATAATGAAAACCTTAAGAAGTCCAAAATTTGAAAGATTTTCTAGCATTCACGTTAATAATGAAATTCTCATCCACCCCAAAGATATTGCCAATGCGTTCGCCTCTTTTGGGAGCTCCATAAGCTCTGATGAATCGTTTGACCCTTCCATTTGCTTATCAAAACATTATTTTTCTATTATTAATCCCAATGTTCTAAACACAAACAACATGCTTCTTACAGAAAAAGTCGAGCTTCAAAACTCTGAAGGGTTCCACTCCTTCTTTGGATAAACTTACGTATTCAATAATACTAAATGCACCAACTTTAATAAAGAAACGAATATGTAACTTATATTATAGGATAATACACCATGGCGTCTTCCCACATGACTGGAAAATCGCAATTCTTTGCCTTATTCAAAACAAGGAAAAAATCCAAATTCTTTACTAGGCTATGGGCCAATCTCTTTACTTCCCGTTCTTTCAAAGATTTTTGAAAAACTTTTGACAAGGCGATTACTACATTACCGCCTAATTCGTTTTTCCACAATCCAAGATGCCTTCCTTCCACATCACGGTGTACATACACTGTGTCACAGCCTGGAGTGTACATTACGTGAAAATATAAGCAGCAGAAAACACAGCGTGGTTATCTCAGCGGATTTAGGAAAGGCATTTGATCCTGTTGTATTCACCAGTATACTCACCGAACTCCATAATTGGGGAATACAGTACAATACAAGTCATTGCATTAATACGATCTTTTTCTATCATTTCGACGTATGATAGTAAGAGTCTATGGCTATTTTTCTAATTCTTTGCCGTTATAATATAATGGTGTAGCCCAGAGTTCGCCTATCTCAGTTATACTTTTCAATATATACATAAATTCTTCATGCAGAACTCTTGAAAACGTTTCAGGGATCGATTTTGTAGTACGCTGATAGCATATTTGCAATTTTATCAGATTTTCCACAAGTCGTGGAAGTAAATTTAAATAGCTTTAACCGTTCAGTACAATGTTGGGCCAGAGATGTAGGAGCCGTGATCCCCTCTAATAAAGTAGAGCTTCTTCACGTATGTCGAAGGAGAAAATGTCAACTTAATTCAATGTGTCTCGATCAAAACACTATCAATATTCATCATCGTATGAGAATTTTGGGATTGTCTTTCAGTAGAAATTTATTATGGATTCACATCCAAAGCAAATATTTCGAAACTGAATGCTGTCACAAACAAATTTTATTAGAACTGCCGAGGGCTTCTTCATTCTACACCTCAAGAAGCACTTTATATAGAGGGAAATTACAATGGAGATATGCTAACGCTAACAATACTTCATGTATAAACTCTATTGGTCAAATCTAGACGCTTTTTTCTACACTGATATGGAATCTACACTGATATGGTGATGGTCCCAAACCACTGTGAGATTGTAGTTTTATGGATACCATCACATTCAGGTATTAAGGAAAATGATTTCGCTGATAAGATGGCAAAAGAAGCATTGGTTATGACTTCTATAGCAGAAATTCCCTGTTCTCATTTCACCTTACTGCATCTTAATAAAACAAAACAACGCGGCAGGAAATCAATTGTGACAATCTTCGTCTACTTTTCTTAGACGAGTTAATCCACCAATTCCAATGATTATCTGCAATCCTGATTTATCTAGATTCATTGTATTTTCCTAGCCCAACTCAGTGTTGGTAAATGCTTATTTAACACGATGTTCTTTCTGTGGCGAGCTCATTACAATTGAACACATTCTAGTAGAATGTCAATACTCTGCAATCAATTTAGGCATCGAAAAAAATACTCGATTGTTTCAGTAAAGAGTTTTTACCCCGAATCCGTTTGGCACTAAATATTTATAATGTTCGTGAATATAATTCAAATTTATTTTATAAAATATTTTGTAAATAAATAAATAATTTTCATAGATTAAATTCACTAATTTCTTCTATAGGTTGGACATGTTAGTGAACTTGAATCCGTAGTAAAAATTTTATAACATTTTTTAACAAATTTTTCGAGGAATGTATTCCTAAAATTGAAAAAATAAGTTCAAAACAACTTCCTTGGATTACGCCTAATTTTTAACTATTAAAAACTATAAGAACAAACTCTTTCGAACATATAAGAAATCTGGTCTGGTTATTAAACGGTGGGCCAAAGAAGTTTCTGATCCAGATGTAACTAAACAAATATATTTGTCTCTTGTTAGACCAATATGGTAGAATATGGTTCCTCTGTGTGGGACCCTCATTATACTCTCTATTCCGATAAAACCGAGTACGTATAGAAGAAATTCCTACTTTTTGCTTTAAAAGGTTTAAATTGGGACAATAATTTCGTTTTACCCTCTTATACTAGTAGGTTAAAATCAATTCGATTAGCTTAATAAAAAGAGGAGATGCATTATGTACAATGACGTTAAGCATTTTTAACAGTACTGCATTGTTTGAATAAATTTCCCCTTTAGAACTAGTAGATATTATCAATTTTTATATATTGTCTTACATCGCTCAAACTATGCGATGGGTGACCCTGTCAATAAAATGAGTTTTGATTTCAATTATTTATAGATTTTGGTATGGATATAGATACAATAAAATCTAATATAAAATTCTTTTTAAATGATCAATAGATTTCATTTAGATAATTCTATTTTTAACCGGCTGATGAAGTTATTTTCTGTAGCTGGAATTACTAACGCTTGCTGATAATTCATCATGGTGTAGATCATGATGCGTACGCGATTCCAACGTATGAGGATGGTACGTAGTAATGTAAGATTTAAAAACGCTTACATACTAGAAAATGACATATTATAATTTACCTGGAACAGGAACGTCCAAATCAATATCAAAATCATGTAACGTGTACAGATTGTAATTCTTTTTGTCGGTTGAAGAACCGATACTTTCCATTGCAGTAGTTGATTGCTTTGACAGATCAATCGATGGCTTGTCCTTCACAACGTCAACTATTTCTTTTTCAGACGTCTGCTTAAAGCCCATTCTTGGTTGTGTTATTCGTCTGGTAAAGGGATCAGAAATTCGCAAGCCTTTATTTGCCCGAGCTTCTTCCAAAATAGCCTTTTCAGCATCTTCCACGTTACGTTTTCTATTGCGGTCGTTAATGTAGGAAATGAGACTGATACTGCTAGATCTTCGTTTATCCAGTTCGGAAGCACGACTTTCTAGTTCTTCTATCTGTTGACTTAATTCTTGCGAAAGCTCATAATCGCCTCGTAGAAGTGCCGCATCGCGCTCTTTCATTAAGCAAGTTTTTTTCATTGCATAGTTGGTTGGCCTATTTCTAAATCTATTTTTTTCTTCGATTATTTTATCAACGTCTTCGTCTTTGAATTCATAATTTAATGCTACCTTTATATCGCTTAATTTTTGTTCGATCATACTCAGTGGAGGCATCTGTACGTTCTGCAAAGAGCATATGTCGCGCCATTTTGTGAATTCACTTTCACTAAACTCCTGATTAGAAATAAATTCTAATCGAAACACTCTTTCCTGAGTTCCATGTTTTAAACGAAGGCCTTTATTAGTTCGCGTTTTTCCCAAGTTATAGATTTTAGCAGTCTCTACAACACCAACAATTTCAGCAACTCTGTAAACCGCTTTTTGGCCATTGTTTCCAATACTAATACGAACGAAGCAATTAATTACGGTTCGTTCAAATATTGGCAAATTTATGAATCGCTCCATTTTAAATCTGGACAATCTAATTTTGTTAAGTTCTTCCCTTGTTGTTACATATTTCACCTGTTTATCATCATGCTCATCCTCTTCACTCTCACTCGAGTCTTTGCTACTATTTGTTCGGGAACGTTTGTCAGATGGTTTGTCTTCCTCTTCCCAATCACTACTCCCAGAATCATCCGAATAAATTTCTGATGCTTTTAGCTTTACTGAGGATTTTCCTCCGGTCACGCTTTCTAGTTCATCCTTTTCATCTTCTTTTTCCTTTTGTGCTTGTCGTTTCGCTTCTTCTTCCTCTGGAAAAACAAAATTAAATGAAATGGTTAAAATAAGCTAAAAAAATCCAAGCCAAAATTAGAACCCAATAAAGAGTTTGACAGTTAAAAACTAAACCAAAATTAGAAATTATAAACTGGAATTCGAAATCAGTATTTGAAATATCAGCAGAGGTAAAAAATTTCAGTAGAGATAATAAAATGTTAGCTCGGTAATTAAAGCAACATCCGAATATCCGGAAAAAGTGGCTAAAACATCTGAAGCATTGCAACATCAATACCGGATCGAGTAAATTGTGTGCAACGGTTAAGTCGACTTAATCAATGGCGTAGAAGTGACAGATCCGAAAAGGTGCACGTGTTATTTCAACCAGGGAGCACCCCGAATGTGACAGGGCAGCTGAAAAGCGAGAGCTGTCCCGACAAACCCGAGTAGTTTTGGCACAGTTAAGATCCGGATGGTGCAGCTGCCTCAATTCGTATTGGGCCCGGATTGACAGCGATGTGCAGAACATCTCTCCGGCTTAACACGCTGCACATAATACGCTGCCCAACCAAACCTACTCAACTAACTCCAGTAATCTCACACTCAAGGCAATCCATAGTTCCCTCGCAAAACTTATTATGCCACCACTCTTAGAGGATTGGATTGATGTTATGCTCAGCAGCAGAATCATCAACTCAAGCATCCGGAAGTTTTGTTAGGAAAATGATCGCAAGGAGGCGTTTTGTCATCACTACATTGGCTTTTGGTGATAAATGACATTCTAATCGAACTGGAACACGGCGGAACAAAGGTTGAGGCTTACTTGCTGATTGCTGGGAAATTCAGTTCTTATGCAGGGAGATCTAGTTAAACTCTTCAGATGGGCACGCTGCAATGGACTTGGCGTGAACCTATCTAAATACCAAATTTGAAACAATTCCGGTAAATAATGTCGCTAAAATCATCAAAATTCCGAATATCGGGAGGTACTGTTATATGGGGGCTATAGAAAGACGTGGGTGGACCCACATGGTCCATTTTCTGTTTTAGGCTGTAGAATCCATTACAAACTTCAAATAGCAATTTTCAAACAATTCCAGTAAATAATGTCGCTAAAATCATCAAAATACCGCATATCGGGAGGTACCGTTATATGGGGGCTATACGAAGATGTGGACCTACATGGCCCATTTTCAATACGAAAAGTCCTGCAGACATAATACCCGTTTGAGTAAATTTTTATCAACTTGGCAAACTTTTTATCGGAATGGCAAACTTAATATACCCTCCATACTATGGTGGAGGCTATAAAAATAAAAACTTTTAATGTACCAGTCATCATTTCGCAGAGCAAACGATTCGTTCGCAAACGATACAGGCCCGCAACTCGCAGCCGAAGTACATTAAGGCAATCGTATTGTTTGTGTACCTCTGGCATTGAAATGCTTGTGGTTTTGTATTTTTTGTATTTGTATATACAAAACGATTGAAAAAATTTTAAAAGCATGTGTCTTTGTGAGATGGGTACGTTAATCGTTTCCTTTGTTTTCGTTCGCTGTTCCAGACTGGACTAAGAAGCAGAATCCGATTGAAGTCTGAACCAACACAGCAGTATGAGCTGCTACAAGAACAACAGAATAGGCCTATTTATTGAAATTTGTTTGAATTGTGTCCAACTTAAAAAACCTTAAAAACCAATTTGATAAAGTGTATATTAAGTTAGGATTATCAACTCAATACTTTCAACCAATTACCCCAAGGTATTTCAGGTCATATTCCATTGCCTCTTTAAGTCGTCCGCGCATACCACAGCTATATACGTCAAGATTAGAAGTAGGAAAAAGGTTCTCAAGTCTCTGGTCGGCACCACTTGTGGAGCTGGTAAAGAAACCTTGTTCCGGCCTTCGCGGAAGCACAGCTGGATGCTACCGGACGCGTTCACAGGTTGCGGATAGTGGAACGCCCAATAGATATATTGGGCAGCTGCGAATAAATAAGCAGTCGCGGACAACTCAACGCTACTGTGGGGAGAGTCTCAGAACAAATATCCGAGTTCACATGATCCCTGGCTGGGCGAGGCGCACAACTGGCGCCTCAAATTAGCCTGAGATCGGTGTTGGTCTACCGAGGAAAAAGACCTCCTAACGCTGGGATGTTACGTAAACCGTGCCCATCAGCATTCCTCGGTTCGCAGTCAGCGTACCGACTGTTTTCGAACGGTTGCCTCACTGATACCTAGGCGCCTCAGTGAGTAACAGGCTTAGTTGCCAAGTCCTTTACCATGGTAGGGAGGCTATGCCATGTCGGACTAAATTAAACAAAAACAACACAAAACCCCCAAAAAACATTAACGACAATATTGCTTCTGAGGGAGCAACGACCCAGGACCGGCTAAAGGACTCGTTACTAAATTCGGGAGCGGACGACTCGATTTAGACGTCATCTATGACAGCACTCACAAACATAGTGAACAATTTTCCGCCCTCCTGGAAAAGACAAAGACACTAAGGCTCAGTCAGGAAAGTGTTCCTTCTGGCTTCGGAAATGACTCACCTCTCTCCGATGAGGAACTTGACATCACTGTCATTTGCTCGTCTCAAAGTGGTAAGTCACTTCAAAAAGCCGCTAAGAACACTCCCAACGAGGCTTTTGCGGAGTCACAACTCCAGGAGGCATCCTCGTCGGTCGCTTCTGATGTCTTAAGCCTCCACCGGCAAGACGCCATCAACGTAGGTGGTGGCAGGAATCCTACCAGCAACCCTACCTCTCACGAAGGCGACGACCCGAAGGAGGCGAAAGCAAGACGGGGCTACAAAAGGTCGGTAAATTATTGTAAGAAATTTATCGACCAGGACCCCGCGCAGATTATGGAGAAAGAGAGGATTCTGATTAAGATGAACCTCAAAGTAATTGCAAAGTTAAAAAAGAGCCACCCGCAATTACCAAGCTGTTCTCTTAATCCGGTGTTTCAAGCTACCATCTGCTATCAACGGCAGGGTTCAACCCTGAGTCGATGGCTGCTATTCGAAGATCGTCTGAGGGAACTTGTCTATACGGGAGAGAGAGATCCGAAAAAAATGCAGTTTGGCAGCGCAACCCTTTACATGTGTTGTGAAAACGAGGAATCTAAGGAATTCCTAGTCACTGCAGTATCTGGCTTTCGCGATCTTTAGCAAGGCTGCGATCTGGCGGCTGTATCCTTAAAGGATATTCCCCGCCGCATTATGACAATACTGGGCAAACAAAACTCAAACCTCAGAACAGACAACTGGCGTCTTGTTAGTTCAAGCACTGAGGGAGGTGGTCTGGTCATCAAGGTATCTATGGATACGGATGGCCAGTAGTACCTTCAAGCTCGTGGGGGCAAGCTGCATTTCGGCGCCGGTTGGATCCATTTCCGATTAACGACGTTGCATTAGGAGGACGGAAACAGCAGCAAAGCGGCTGCTGCCGAACTCCTCCTATCCATCACGAAAGCTGAAGTAGACATAGTCCTGGTTCAGAAACCCTATATATACAACAATAGGGTAACTGGACTAGGGAGTGGGTAGTATGTCTCTTACGCGGTCTCCAATGGTGATAAGGCAAGGACGCATTGTTGCCAAAAATAGTTTAAATCTTACCTTCCTTAGCAACAACAGTGGAGACATTATGGTGACGAGAATGGTAACTAAATCCGGGAGGGTTCTTATATTCATTTCTCTCTACCTACCGTATGAGCGACCAGGCCCACCTGACCACGAAGTAGAGGAGCTGCTTAAAAATCTGGTTGACAAGGGCATCTAATTATGGGATGTGATGCCAACGCACACCACTTCCAATAGGGCAGCAACGATACCAATGTCAGATGTGAGTCCATTTTTGATTTTATCTTGAAATATAATCCCAAAATATGTAATAGGGGCAATGATGCAACATTTCAAATCAAAGACAGGACAGAGGTCATTGATCTCACATTCACTAACAAGGATGAATCTCTTATACAAGACTGGAAAGTTTCTCCTGAGTGCTCGTTTTCAGATCACCGGAAGATAGTTTTCATAATCTTAGTAGAGGGAATTCATCAGAAACCTCATAGAAATCCAAGAAAGAACTGGGACAAATTTACGGATCTGGCTATACTTAGGCTTCACTGTTTCGACAACATGGTCTTAACCTCAACCCTCGATATAGACAACTTCGTAAATGTGATAACGATAACGAGTGCTATGAAAAATTCTGTCCGCTAACCTACCCAGGCAGGAAATGCCAACCGGTTTGGTGGTCAAAACATTTAACCAAGTTAAGGAGGGATAGTAGACGATTGTACAATAGGGCCAACAAGACCAAACTACGTACGGGCTGGGATGTGTATAAGACATTCTTTAACAAGTACAACAGTGAGATCAAGAAGGCCTAGCGCACATCTTGGGTATGATGCCTCCAGATTCCTTAGTCCTTTCGAAGGATCCTAAATCCATAGGAAGTATAAAACGGACTGGCGGCACGTGGACCGACTCTGTACTAGAGACTCTCCATCTGCTAGCCAACATTCACTTCCCCGGCTGTACTGACACGGTAAGCAATCGGCAAACCGATCAAGTGCATCGCGACTATACGGCTAGGGACCAAAATCTGGCCGACCGAATTGTAAGCTTATCCAAAATTAAGTGGGACATAGGCACGTTCAAGCATTTTAAATCCACAGGGCCAGACTGCATTATTTCCGCTATGATCCAGCATGTCTCAGCGTCAATATCCCCAATACTGGGGAGATTTTCAAAGCTTATATGTGTCTATCCTACATCGCGGAATCATGGAGTTACTTACATCCCCAAAGCAGGGAAACCGAGTCACTCACTTCCTAAGGACTACAGACCGACAAGTCTCTCCTATTGAAAACACTGGAAAGGCTGATAGACATAGAGATCAGATCTTTATTACCCAAGACTCAGCATGCCTACATAAAAGGTAAATCTGTTGAAACAGGGCAACATGATGTCGTAGGTTACATAGAGGAGAACATGAATGGCTCCTTGTTCACCTTGGCTGACTT